CTTCATTGCTTTAAAGGTCCTGACCAATGCAAACAGCGGGTTCCAGCCTTGTCCTTGTCCAGCAAATGGGCTCTCAGGGCTCAGACCGACGCGGAGCCGACTGTTTGATGTTGGTGGCCTGTGATCGAAACAGAGATCCGCATTGTCCCAGGGCGTCCCCAAACGGTGCAAAAGGCCCTCCAAATGACATTTGTTGGCCCGGCCCTGCCCTCGTACACTCCGATGGGGCACTTGATCATCGGTTCCGAGGGATCCCTCGGCTCCTCTGCGGGCCCTCGAACACTGTCCCAGGTCGACTCTGAGCTCCTCGTCAGTACCGGACCCCTGTCAGGCACTGTGGTCTCCTGACTGACACAAGAGCCACTCATTAATTTAAGGGCCCCGACCAATGTAAATCGCAGATCTCGGCCCTGTCTTTGCTTGGGAAATGAGTCCCTAAGTCCTAGACCTGACCTAGGAATATATTCCGGTGATGAATCTGTTGCGTGTCACGGTCGCCAAGACTCTCACAGAAGTGAGTTTCGCAGAACAGGATTGGGCAGGCCGAGCGTAAAAACTAGCGCCAAATACACTAAAAACAGGCTACCTCCCGGATTTAGCCCAATTTTCTTCCCGTGACGTCGCGGAGTAAGTCCCCCTAAGACGGAAAAATACATGTCTGGTCTTATACGCTTGTTTGCTCTGTTCTGGCAAAAGATGTTGTCGTTGGGCATCATAATAATTTTGCTTGGCGTTGATCGTCGAAACTGGGTTCCGGTAATCGACGTAGAGTCGGCGCTATATGGCTTCAGACGTTGTTGGACGTATACGGCTCCGGGAGTAAGGAGTGTTAGTTGATTTCCGCAACTTATAATGTTTGCAATGGAAATCCCCTCTGATTGTCTGAAGGCGGGGTGCAGGCGCACCACTCCCATGAAGCATGATGTTCGACACGGCTAGTGTTAGTGGTCAAGATCGCACGGCTACTGCCATCGGTTTGGTCGCCTGGAATCGATCGTCAGGTCTTGCAACTGTTTTATTGAATATTCAGGTTGAAGTGGGGGTCCACACACTTCAAGGGTTCCTCTGAATGTAGACGGCCACTAAGTTTATAACGCCTTGTTTTCATTTTCCGATAAGGCGTCGAAGCAAAACCGTGCAACTCGCTACGATCTGCATAACTCAGACAGTGCTGAATAATACCAAAACACTCCCATAGTACAAAACTAGACTATTGCCAACCACAGATATAAATCGTGTTGTTCAGAACGTGCAGCATACAGAGGAAGAAAAAAGAAGAAAAAAGAGGAGAAAAAAGCTCAAAAATACACGGAACGACCGCGGAGCTTTAGACGTGTGTCTGACTCAGTCAGGTGCACTAACTAGATATGATATCGCAGTCCTTATGCTGTTTGTTTCCTTTACCTGTGAAATAATTAGTAGAAACCTTCTTTAAATGTTATATAATTCCAAGATCTTAGTTGTAATATCCTACATGAACTTGGGCTCCACAAGCTGGGGTCCAAACTCGTAGTTAGGGGGGAGGCAGATTTAACTTAGGGGAGGGGGGGGGGGGTCAGTGGCCCACCCAAAATAATACAAGTCGACACCCGCCCTGCCAATTATTGATGAGGAGGTACCATACAGCGTGATTAGAGTGGGGGAGGGCCTCAATTTTCAGAGAGCCTGAGGCTCTGTGCTCCAGTTTCCATTTTCGAAATGCAATGTGTGGCTTTAGTAGCGCATGCAAGTCATTCTCTGTCTTCTCGTCTCATTGATATCTTCTTGCGCGTGAAAGGCCGTTCATGGAATTCATTCCAACAATGCAATGTGGGGAAGTCCGCCGAGCGTGCAGTATCGCCAGACTAATCCAGCCGGGGGCATTGGCGAAAAGCCGCAGTGTCGCACACCAGCCCCGCCGTGGCCAGCTGCCAGCACAGCTGGCTATAAAACCGGTTTGATGCACCAGAAACGCATCATTCCGTGCCAGCCGGTGCTCCTTGTGCTACCCCCGCTCGGCGTGGTCCGATCCGCTCGGTTCGCTATGCGGGTGAGTGCCTGTCATGACTTTGTCAGGCTCCAACCCCGAAGACGCCCATATAGCAGTATGACAGCTTTTAAAATACAAGTAACTATACTGAAAGATTTCCAAGCCCGCGCTATTTGACCAGTATTGTTGCAAATTATCGGAATCTGTCTGACTCAGATGTGTGTTTTTCACACAGCAATTGTGGTCTGGAAGCTAGAGATGCCGGCCTCCTCTTCCCGCGCTCAGCAGTTGAGTGCGCCGTTTGCATCAGTAGGTGTGGGGCATTATGGAATTTGGAGAAGTGCGTTCGTGTTCACGGAGGCGCCGTAGAGCCGTTTGCTAAGGGGATTAACGCTGGGTAGGAAAATGAAAGTGTGCAAATATTGAAATATCTACATAATACAAATATATGAATGAATTATCTTTCTAAGCATACCAACAGAGCTCTGTAAATGCGAGTGCGTGTGTGTGTGTGTGTGTGTGTGTGTGTGTGTGTGTGTGTGTGTGTGTGTGTGTGTGTGTGTGTGTGTGTGTGTGTGTGTGTGTGTGTGTGTGTGTGTGTGTGTGTGTGTGTGTGTGCGTATGTGTATTGAGGGAGCGGGGGCAATATTGTCATCGGCCCCCGGCGCCGTGCTGGCGGCGGAAAAACGGCGCCAAACCCCGTCCGCCTCGAAGTACTGGTAGAGCTCGGCTGTGGGCAGGGCTTCCTCCGGCTCCTCGACGCACTCGGGGTGGGCCTCCCACTCGAACGGGGCGGCGGCGTGGTTGGAAGCAGCAAAGTGCTCCCGCATGACGGCGGGCTGCAGCGGGCACGACGGGCTCTCCTCCGCCAATACGTCACGCATCGCCTTGCCGCGATTGGCGCGGCACAGGCGCTGGAGCCGACTCGCCTCGGCCGGCTCGCGCCGGGGCAGCCGGTATGTCGTGCGGCGGTCCGGCTGTTCGGCCGGTGGAGGGGCCGGGCCGCCGTTCTGGGGAGGGGAGGGGAACCACCCGCCGCTGGACGGTCCGGCCGGCAGCGGGGGGGGGGGGGGGGGGGAGGGAGCGCTCCACCAGCTGTACCCGGGCGACCGTTAGGAGGCGGTACGACCGCCGGCCGCCCGGACTGCCCACGTAGGGAGTCGGCGTCGGGCTGTCCTCGGCGCCGAGCAGTGGCCTGGCCTCGCCCCTGATGGTGCGCCTCATTGCGGCGAGAGGCGTCGGCCACCATGCACTGGAGGAGCGCCTCGCATGGTTCCCAGTCGTCCTCGGGTTCGTCGAGGAGCCGCTGCAGGCGGGGTATGAACTCCGCCTGCAGCTCGGTGAGCTCGGGTTCGGGATGACGAACGGCTTCTCATTGTCTGCGCTCAGCTGAACTGTTGGCGGGGGCGCAGCCGGTCACGGCAAGAAATCTGAACTGTTGGCGGGGGCGCAGCCGGTCACGGTAAGAAATCTGCACCACGCTCGACAAAGGGTTCCTGCTTGCGGAATAGCAGCGCGGAGTCCGGTCCACAAAAAACACCCCATAAATGAGCGACCAGATTCAGCCGTTTTTTTGGCCGTGATCAAATATCTTTTATATCTTTTCAGAGATCAAAACCTTCTTTTACAAGTTGAACTTCCTTGACTGAAAGGGGATCCAGAATCTGCCAGCAGATACAATTGGTTACGGATTTTGAAACAAATAGAATAAACAAGGAATTAAATGACTGCGATCTGCACTGAATAAGTCGAAGGTACTATTAACTTAACGATGGTTCACTCAGCCTTTTCAATAGAATAGTAGCAGTCAGGGCATTGTCGGAATGTTCTCCGGTATTACAAAGATATTAAGGAGCTTGTAGATTGAACGCCAGGATAGATAGAAACAACGTCAAAACTTTGCAGCTATGTTTCCAACTCTTGTTCGTGTGTGGAAAAGTGTAATTTATTTGAGATCCATCTACGAACAATTATGTAAAAGTTTTGAGCATAGACGCTTTAAGAATGTCCAGGACAAAAACTATCACGATTGGAAAATTGTATTTCAGAACGCATCATAAAATAAATTCGCATGTGTACGGAATGTATCCCGTTCCGTAGATTTCATCTGGACGATTTTTAAGTTGTTCTTAGAACAGATTAGCACGTACAGCACCACGGACTCGACGCAGTGGCATAATCTCGAATGCTCGTGCTGCTGTAACTGCTAATTCCGCTCAGAGGATCAACCACAAGATCGCACAGGTGAAATATCCTGGCCGGGAGGTGAAGGGCCCTTCTGTCCCAGCTCCAGGTGCGCAGCAGGTGTTATAAGGGCGACACGGGGACTCCCAGAGGAGCACATCACTCACCGGTCCCGTCTTGATGGGGCAGGCCCCCACACCTGGGCATCTGGCACAGGATGAACGCAGGGGTCGTCACTGACGCAAATGGGTCCTTTGCCGGCGCAGGGCGTCAATTATTGCCACCGAGACACCAATTTCGTTTCTGGGCCTGCTTCAAAGGGCGCAGAGGGTCCCTCGTTCTGTACTGGGGCCTCTGACCGACAAAGATCACCGTCTCATCGTGAGTGCAAACCCTAGCATCACCATTTCTCATGTCTCCTTTCTTTATCAGGAGGATCTTAACCAAAGCAAAAGGCCTTTTGACATTCAGAGTCTCTCTACTGTCTCTGCTCAGCAAAGGTGCCCGTGGCCGACTTGGGTTCATTTGCCGACACGGGATTCTCTGGCACACTGTCAGCCAGGTAGGCATTGTAAGGTCAGTGCAGAGGCCCTTTACTGTTTTGGGGGCTGACCCAGTGCAAACGCTTACTGATAAACATTTGCAGGCCCTGGCCCTGAATATGTCCATGACGATAATGGGATCCCAGCAGCAGCTTTAAGCCGTACGTCGTGATAACGGTTTGCTGTGCTAGTTCCCTGAAGGTACGTGTTGCTTAAGGCACGTGTTCTCTCATGCTTCCATTGTTATCTGTCCTCGTCTGTTCTCACTGTCTGACAGCCGGTTCATTGATGCTAAAGGTTATGTGCATGCACAACGAATCAAATGACGTTCTATACTTTATCTCGGAAACAGGCATTACTTTGAGCACATGTGCTTCAAAGTGAGATTTAATAGACGGACGTAGTATCAGTTCCTGCAGTAGAAAGCGCTGGTCTCCTTTGCAAATTGTATGTCTATCAAGGACTTCGGACTTAATTCTTCTACGCAAGTGTTGAGTAAAGATGAACAGCCAGCCGAACCATGGCTATCTATGTGGGTTGACATCGTCTTATGCCTGCCAAATCCTGCTTTGTCTTATGCCTGCATCGTCTTACGACTGCTTCGTGACACCATCGGTGCTGGGAGTATTTCAGATGTGCCTGGCCAGCTTGGTACGCCACACGTGCGTCCACGAAAGTGCATTTATGAACAGCATAATTCCTGCCTCCTTGACCTTTTGAGAACGGAACAAGGTCTACATGCCCAAGCTAGGTCCCCTTCTCCAATGTACTTACCATTTGGCCTGGCTTTGAGCTCATGTGATGCCGTAGAATGCCACATTTTTGTGCGAGGTGATGAAAACAAGCGGCTAGCTTTGAGTCGGTCATCGGTGACGAGTCAGCACGTATAAACGACATCGATCTAATCCAAAGGTCTTTGAGTAATCGAACAAAATGCGGACGTCCACGCAACCAGATACACTGCTGATGTCCATGTGCATACAAAGTTCCGTCATGGATGGATTGCCTATCTCCCTAACATTACAATGCGCGTAACGTAGCTATGCAGTGCATAGCATGTACCGGTTGCTGTCGCTAGGTTAGGTTTTCCAAAGTCAAACTTATCAAATTTAAACGCTTGTGACCAGATTCGGCCTCTTAGAGGTCATTAGATTAATGGCACTGAGCCTTTCTAACTACGTTTCTCTCATTGGCGTGGGTTATTTATCTCTTGATACAGTCGGACGTGCTAATCCAACAATAGCCTTTACCTCGGGTGGGAGCGTTGGGATGCAAAACGCGCTAAGCTGCTGAGGTTTGAGGCGTCACCTTCATCCCATCCTTTGTAAAATGCTTATGTCACTACTGTGACCTTATTTGAGCTCTCAAGGGTCTCATCCATCATTGTTCATCACAACCTTTTCATACATTTTGACACCCCGCAGGGGCACCGGCTTCGGCCGGTGTAGGGGACTAGCGCCCCCTCGGGTCCCAGCTCCGGTAACGGGTGGACAGCGCAAGCTGTTCCTCTCAGGGCGTAGCGACCCTGCCGGTACGTGAGCTCCCGCTCCTGGTCCCGCCCGCTCCTCTTCCCATTGCCTGTTTTCCGGCATCCGGCCCTATCACCACTCCTCATCCTCGTTTTATCGGGGTCGCCGTGCACCCTCACCCGTGTCCCCGGGTTGGTCGGATCCTGGTGGCTGAGGGGCGCGTCGTGCGGGTCAGTCACGGCGCGTCCCAACACTCCACTTTGGCCAGGATATCTGGGGGCGCGGGGGGCCCGTGGGGCCCCACACGGGTCTAGCGGCTTGTCGCTCGCGTTGCGGTTGGGTGCTCCTTGGGGTTTCCGCTTGGGGCGCTTGGCCGCGCGCAGCGGCTTGAGGGGTCGAGGGGCGGCGGCGCTGAGCCACGGTCAGGACGGGGAGGGGTCTCCCCGGTTACACCTGGCCGTGTGGGAGGCGTCGTTCGCCCCGTATAGCACCGGGGTAGCCCTGGCGGTGACCACCTCCCGAGGGAGTGTTGGGCCGTCCCCCTGTTGGGCTCCGAGGTGGGTGGGGAGCCCCGGTGCCGAAACTTCACTGAACTTCCATGGCATCTCATAATCTAAAAACCACCCGACCGCCGAGAGGGGGAAGGACCATGTGCAGAACGGAAGGCAGCAGGGAATCTTCGCCATCTCCCCGAATTTTGGTTTTCCAAAGCGATAAGACAAGGCTCTCGTCTCTCTCGCCGTTTCAGCGACAGAACGGACGTGACCGATTTGGAAATGTGGTGCGGTGCGACAAATTGCGTGATGGAGGGCTGGAGGTAGAGTTTGTTAACGGAGCAGAGGCTGATCGTGCGATGGCTGCAGCCGAATTCACGTACTGCGTTCGGGACAAGGATGGCAAACGAGACGTTTCTGTACCTATCCGAGTGACACCACACCTGACAAAAAATGCATGCAGAGGAATAATTAACTGCTTCGACCTGCGTGACGTCAGTGAAGAAGAGATTGCTGACGAGTTGTCTGTGTTCGGCGTCACTGCCGCACGGAGGATCTCCACTAGAAAAGGAACTGAGCAACTGACAACAAATAATATCATCTTGACATTCAATCGCCCGGATCTTCCTTCTGAAATACGCGTTGGATACGCACGTGTCAAAGTGCGCCTTTTCATCCCAAACCCCATGCGATGCTTCAACTGCCAGTGATTTGGTCATACCAAACAGTACTGCCGCAACAAGCCTGCCTGTGGGAAATGCGCTTCCTCCGAGCACACAACGGAATTTTGCGATTCAGAGAGAGCGTGTTGTGTGAATTGTGACAAAGACCAGGCCCCGCACACGACCTACGACCGCACGTGCCCAGCGTACGTGAAGGAGAAAGAAATTATCTCCATTAAGACCACTCGCAATATCTCTTTTCGCGAGGTCAGAACATTGTATGAGGAGAGCCACCCTCGAACATCATACGCCGAAAAGGCTAAGATCTCCACCGCACGTCCGACCTCCACTGATCAGATGACCGCTGCTCAGTTTGTAGCGCTCTTGAAGTCCTTTGGTCTCTCGGTTGTGTCGACGAACCAGGTGCTGGACTCCAGTCTGGCAGCCCTGGCTCCCCCTTCCTCGCTGGAGCGGTCGAAGGAGACCGTGCTGCCAACCTCCTCGCCCCCCGCAGGGGTTTCGCCGTCGGTGGCAGGGGGCGGTGGTTGGACGGTGGTTCGGCGTGACCGGGGTAACCAGGCGCTGTCGGCTGCCCCCCTGTCTGCCAGCCCGACGACTAACACAACCTTGGCGAGCGCGAGCTCGCGAACGGCAGGGACGCTGGAGCGTCACGAGGCAGACAGGCGCGCCCGTGAGGCAAAGCGGGCACGCCTGGCAGACCAGGAGCGTGCCAAGGCAGCCAGCGGCTGTCTGGAGCGAACAAGGTGACCGCTTCACCGGGGGAGACCCTCCCGCCGCCCCGAAGGCGTGTGGAGGCTCCCGCAGGCCCCTCCGACCCGCGGAGAGACCCGCCTATGGGTCCTCCGCCACCACCGCCACCTAGGACCACGACGTCGCCGGCGCCGGCCCCGTTTAGGGCCTGCGGATACCTGTCGGAGTGATGAGAACCAACACGCACCCGAAAGAATCTGTCAATCAGAAAGTTTTGTAAAAACTTTCCCATGTGACCGCGGATGCCACAATCTAGTAATTTCATCAAAATTCCATGTCTCCATGTGGTGTCATAAGCTTTTTCTATGTCAAAAAAGATGGCGCCGGTATGGCGCTTGCTACTAAATCCGGCTTGCACTGCGGTATCAAGAGTTAAGATGTGGTCAGTCGTGCTCCTGTTCTTGCGGAATCCGCACTGAGCATTCGTGAAAATTTTTGACGTTCTTAAGTCCACGAGAGCCGCACATTCACCATTCTTTCCATGAACTTACAAAGCGAAGATGTGAGGGCGATCGGACGATAATCAAGGGCGTTCGCTCCAGTTTTCCCAGGCTTTAAAATAGGCGCTACTATGGCCTCTCGCCAGGTTGGCGGGAAGTTACCTGACTCCCATATACAGTTGAAAAGTGCCAGCAGTGCTCGTAGTACACGGGGAGGAAAATGCCGTACCATATCATTGTGGACGAGGTCGGGCCCCTCCGCTACGCCACGCAGCGAGCGAATGGCCGCTTCAAGTTCCATCATAGTGAAATGCTTGTTGTATGTCAGGATGTCACCTGTATGAAAATTAACTTGCGAAGTTTCACATCTAGCCCTGTGTCGTAAAAACCGTGGATCGCAGGTGCCATTTCGGCAACGCTCTGACAAGGCTTCCCCAATGGCTTCCGCGACATCACTTGGGTGAGTGATGTCTTGATTTCCCACTCGCAGTACGGGAAGTGAGATTGGTGGGTGCAATCCAGCTATTCTTTTGATGCGGCCCCATACGTGCGATGTCGGCGTGTGGCGATTTAGTGAGTTGACACAGCTGCGCCAAGATGCAAGTTTCGCCTCTCGAATAGTGCGGCGTGCGGCCGCGCGGCCGTGCGTGTTGGTTCTCATCACTCCGACAGGTATCCGCAGGACAATGGTGTGCCTCAGGGCAGCGTATTAAGTGTCATTCTTTTCGCAGTGATGATTAACGACATAGGGGACACGCTTCCGCATGGGATCAGCCGTTCTCTGTTTGTAGACGACTTCGCTATTTGGTGTAGCTCATCGACCACTCGCACGATGGAGCGACAGCTGCAGCTGGCTGTCACACGTCTGGAGAAGTGGAGTGTGCTCAACGGTTTCCGGTGTTCTACATCGAAGACAACCTCAGTTCATTTCTGTCGTCGTCGGCGTCACTGTCCTGAAATGGAAATCAGGCTGTATGGGCAACGCGTTGCCACTGACAACACCGCGAAATTTCTCGGTATACAATTTGACCGACGCCTAACATACCGTGAGCACATAAGAAATCTCCGCGACAAATGTTTAAAATCTCTTAACATCCTAAGGTGCGTGGGACGTACATCATACGGTGCTGATAGGAGGACACTCTTACTCCTATATCGTTCCCTGATTCGTTCAAAACTTGACTACAGCTGTTTTTTGTATGACGGTTCATCAGACCTGATTAAACGTACTTTGAACACGGTGCATCACGCCGCATTACGTATCGCTACAGGGGCTTTTCGGACATGGCCCATAGATAGTCTCCTGGTGGAGGCTCACGAGCCCCCACTAGCATTGCGAAGGCAGATGCTGGGACTGCGCTACACGTGCAAGCTGGCGCAGTTCCCGGATCATCCCGCCCACAAAGCGGTGTTTTCGCGAAGCTTACGAAGGTTTTTTCTTCGTCAACGGTCTCCACAAACTTCCCCCTTTTGTGTACGAATGAGAGAACTTTTAGACGCGAGCGGCCTGAACCTACGACGTGTCATCAGATCTAAACCCACGATGACTGCTCCTTGGAAGCTAGCATCGCCAAGAGTGGATGTTTCGTTATCAAACATGCAAAAACAACGCGTTTTCATGTCGGAACTTAAGGGGCAGCCTTAGAACACATAGCATCTTTTGACGGGTACATGACGACTTATACGGATGGTTCAAAGACGGACGCAGGTGTAGGGTGCGCTTTTGTGTGTGGATCCACAACACGGTCATTCACGCTGCCTTCACACGCGTCGGTCTTCACCTCCGAGCTTATGGCCATCAGCAAAGCTCTCTGTTTTAGTGAAGTGGGCGGTAGCAATTTGCATTTAATTCTTTCCGACTCCTTGAGCAGCCTCCTGGCTGTTGGCGGCTTCTCCTCGTCGAATCCACTGGTCCAGGACATCCAATCGCGTCTTAGCTCACTGGATCGAGCAGGAAAAACGGTCGTTCTATGCTGGATCCCAAGTCACGTGGGGACATGCGGAAATGATCTTGCTGACGCGGCAGCAAAGCGCGCTACGACAGGGACTAGAATTCCTGTAACACCACTACCAGCTCAAGACATGTACCCCGCAGTGTCGTTTATGCAGAAGCGATGGCAGTTCCACTGGAACTCGCTGAGCGCTAACAAGTTGCGGTCCGTGAAACCCCGTATTGGACTATGGCAGTCGTGCTTTCGGGACAATAGGGTGGAAGAAGTTGCCCTTTGCCGGTTACGCATAGGTCACACATATGCTACGCGCCGTCACCTGCTACTGGCTGGCGACAGACCATGCTGCGGTCGATGCTCTGATCCGCTGACCGTGCATCACGTACTGGTCGCTTGCCGCCACCTTACTGCAACGAGAGCACCGTTTTTCGGACACCACGTCCAGAGTCGCACGCTATGTGACTTTTCAGGGGATTCTTCGAACGCCGTCGAGTTCGGTAAAGTGCTCCAGTTTCTGCGCGCTATAGATTTCCCAGTGATCTTTTCATCATGATGCTAGGCTGATTACCAAGACTTTATAGGGTGACCTGGTTGATGCACTTTTCTGATTGACGCCTCTGCATAAATTGATAGTTATGGGTGCTGCATGACCTATAGCAGTCGATGCGCCCTAAAACCCCAAATCATCATCATCACATACATTTTGACACGAGGTTTCCAATGTAGTTTTCTCCGTGACTCTGGCCTGACTGATTTTAGGGGAGGCTCTGAGGCGTCCACTCTCTCGGAGTGTGAAAGTGAAAAACACGCATAGATTGTGAGTCAGCGCGAATATAGAACAGTGCTCGCAAACAATAGCTATAGTATAGCATACGAATTCCAATGGCGAGACTAACCTAACACGTCCCTGAAAGCCCATACTCGTCTGGTCCGTGTTTCAGGTGTCAACGCTGCTGCTTTCGTGCTGGTGCGCGGCAGTGTGTTCCACCCAGGACATCCCAAATCGACTGATCTGCTACTACACCAGCTGGGGACAGTACCGAGCATCCATTGCTAAGTTCACACCAAAAAACATCCCCCCACACCTCTGCACTCATCTGCACTACGCGACGGTCAACACCAACGATGAACAGAAACTGGGGCCGGCCGATCAGCGCTCCGACATCACCCTACAGGGATATAAGCATATGATCTCCCTGAAGGCAGCCAATCCGGCTCTGAAGCTGATGATGATGATAGGCGGATCTAATGATTTGCAGCAAAACGCCTTTGCAGAGTTGGCTAGCGATGAAGCCAAAATCAAGCGCTTTGTGAAGGAGTCGATAAAGTACATCAGAATGCATAGATTTGATGGCATTGACATCGACTGGAAGGTGCAAGGAAAAAAAGAACACCACGCCAGGCTCATGGAAGCTCTGGCTGCTGGCTTCACGGGCGAAGCCAAAGAATCAGGCCAGGACAAGCTACTTTTGGCAACCACATTACCGGCCATCAGCGACCAGATACAAAACAACTTTGACGTTGGTCGCGTTTCCAAGGCTGTCGACTACATGACCGCGCTGCTGTACACCTATCATGCGGGTTCGGAAAATCTTACGGCGCACCACGCTCCACTATACGCCGCTGACCCCGACACTTCGTACTATGCAGACTTTGCCATTCAGGTATTGAAAGAGGCCGGCGCCGACCCAGCTCGGTTGGTAATGGCCGTACCCACTTTTGGGATCACATTTACTCTCGCTGATGCCGAGTCTCAGGGGTTCGGAGCACCAGCGAAGGATAAAGGACACGCTGGCAAGCTTACCAAGGATCGGGGCTCTCTGTCCTTTACCGAAATTTGCGAACACGTCAGCATGGACGGCTGGCAGGCGTTCCGTCCGCAACCGGACGCAGTCGGCCCATACGCCGTCAAAGGCGATCAGTGGGTGGCCTACGACGACGAGGTCATGATGCAAAGAAAGGGCGCCTACATACGCGAGCAGGGTTTGGGCGGGGCGGCCGTGTGGGCGCTGGCCCAGGACGATTTCCGTGGAGTGTGCACCGGACGGCCGTATCCTCTTATTGAAGCCTTGAAAGAGGGTCTGCTTGGCGGTGACATGGCGCCGCCGACCACGCCCAGCCCGCCCCCCACGCCCGGCTACGACAACATCACGGTGTTCGCGTGCCCAAAGAATGGCAGGTTCGCAAAGATGGACAACTGCACCGAGTTTTACGTCTGTAACAAAGGTCTGTCTCAAGTGCGCTCGTGCACACACGGTCAGAAGTATGATTCGCAACGAGATGAATGCACCGAGAACGTTACGTGCGTCGAACAGCCTTTCACTGGAATCACCAGCTTTGCTCCAACACCATCTCCTTTCACGCCGGGGCAAGCGATACCTGGCGACGAGATGCCGAAGATGGCCAAACCTAGCGTTGCGGTGTTCCCTGCACCGTTAGAGGTGCCACGAACTACGCGTCCGCCTGAGGCGCCGTCTACTCCACAAGACTCGTTGGTGGTTTCTTCCGCAGCAACCGCATTGCCCATAGCGGAAACGATAGTCGACAAGGACGTCACGGACATCGAAGAGCTGCAGCAGCCGCCGGCGCTGGTCCAGATGCCACCGATGGCCAAGCCTAACATTGCGGCGTTTCCTGCACCGTTAGTGGTACCACGAGTCATGCGTCCTCCCGCGGCGACACCAGCTACACAGGACTCGGTGGTGGTGTCTTCCGCAGCAACTCCTTCGCCCACTACGGAAACGATGGTTGACAAGGACATCGCGGACATCGCAGAGCTGCAGCAGCTGCTGGCGCTGGTCCAGAGACTGGGCGGCGTGAGCAGCTTGCAAAAGCTGCTAGCGGCCATGGACGGTCCGAAGCGCAGCGCTGCGCAGCCTTCCCAGACAACTGTCACGGAGACCGGCAGCGACCCGCGGGTCAAGGTGCACGTGATTGTAGAGGTCAAGTCATTGTGATTGCCTGAATTGCATGCCAACATGCAGACGGCATTTGGAATTGATCAGGGATGGTTTGTTGTTTGCACTTGCAATATATCTGTCTGCAAGCAGCAACGTTCTCTCAGACGTTGTCAGGCCTGAAACTGTTGCTGGAAATGATAAGTGTTATAGCACTGATACTGCTCGAACGCGAATGTGCTGGTAACGTGTTATAACTAGGCGCTGAAGATTTTCCAAGAATGATTCCATTTTCATGCTGAATACATTGGATTTTGACTAAGAGGAGCGCCGAGCATGAACGTTTTGGAAGAAATGCGATTCCCGTGGTATCTTCAGAATACCGGAGCACCGAATATATGCTGAAAGATAAGATGCACGCTTGGGCCTCTGCGTTCAATTGCGAAGCAGCATGAGGAAAACCATGACGGCCCGCCGGATACTTCTCCTGCGTGACGCCGTTGTGATAGGCCTCTACCCATGAAAATTCAGGTATCGTTTTTAATTTATCAATAACACATAATCATGTCTATGTAACAATATCGACACATTGATATCGTCTTCTTTATATCTCCCGACGCTAAACAAAAGCTTAACAAGTAGGTAAACGGCCAAGTCGTATTCTATTATCAGTGCGGAGGGGTACACGCACAGATGTGAACCATTTTCTCGAGAGGCCATAGGGCCTCTTAAGACCGACGCTGGACCTGAAGGGCTAACCGGACGTCGTGTCAAGGGCCCTTGGCCAGCAGCGATAAAATCTCTTTGCATTCTATCCACCAGACTTCTCTCTTGAAAAAGGTAAAAAGACCAGCTCATGTTTGCCTGGGAACGTCACTCCTTTTGCAGCATCGATAACTGAAATAAATTACGAAGGTTTGAGCCTGCGCACTGCCAATCGTAGGAGCCAGAACATCTCTGGCCTGGGTGGCAGCTACCGTTAAGTGACCGCTGCAGATAACACCAGACAGATGAAACAGATTTCTGATGCCGATAAACTGCAGATAATACCATCACGCGACCCCGGGGCGCGCGAGAACGACCGCTACGAATTAGTTTCCGAAAGTTTCAAGGTCAATTGGTGCGATGTAACGATAAAGGGGGCGTATATTTTGCCTTCATTAATTTGAAGGTGTTTGTAAACAGATTATCAGAAACAGCAGCACGCAAAATGTAAGTCCTTTTTATTCCTTCAGTTCTACCATCATATTCCAGCACCAGTTTGGAGTGCGATAAATACAAAGCCGTTACTTTCATACATCTAAAAATTATTTTGGTAAGGCATCTACCACGACTGCCTTCTAAATGTATGAGTTGATGCTCTCAAACGTTCAAAAGTACTTTTTCAGATGCGTCATTATTTTCGTCTGCCCATTGAACGCCGCTTGGTTTGAGCCGCGCGCCGACGCATCATGGCCTGTAAATATTACAACACTGGGCGTCGTTGTTTGTGTTTTATGTCTAAAACCTGCAAATGCGCATTTTCAAAGCTTTGGTACAAACATTTCTTTTCTAGTCGATTAGAACTGTAGCTCGAACCTTCCTAAGAAAGACGATAGTGTTTTTTTTTTCAGCAAAGCTCACCGCTACCGCAAAAGAGCTCTTCCATTGGGACTTCATAGAATGTGTCTCGAAATTACTTCACCAAAGACAACACGGAAACATTCCAGCAGCATCGATTGGTGAAATTTCGAAATTAGCGACATCTGGCATTTGCAGTGGTAGCAAATATGTTTTTTTGGACGTAAAGCATACATAGCAACGCTTCAACCGCAGTGGAAATCTGGAGAGCAATATTTGAAGGTGGACAATAGTTGACTTTCTGTTAGTAAGCAGATGATAAGCTAACGACAGACGAGTCAGTTATTTTCATTTGTACTGCCTTGTTGTGCCTCATCAGCTTTAACACCTGACTTGGTGGCATGAAATAGGTAGGCGCTTTGGTGACGCTTATCTCAGGTTAGAATTAAGTTTTTCCTCCTGGTTTTAAATCGATTCCTGAAACATATCAAATCGGGCTCTTCAGGCATTTGAAACAGCCACCTCCCAGCACGGAAACGCGTATAAAAGGGGAGGGGGAGGGATAGGCGGTCACCCATTGATCTTCGTCAAGGCTGCAAGCGATTCAGCCCATGGTGCTGGCAGAAAAAAACCTGGCTTACGAATGATGTTTGTTTCCCACGACCCACCAAATAGTCAGCACATGACACCCTGCTCCCGTCAGTCAAGCATCCCGGCAGCTAGAGGTTGAAGTGGCCAGGGAATCCCATGAACGATTCTAGGTGCATTGTTGACTATTGCAAATGCAAATCGCCCATTAAGTCTAAATCGCTTACCGAGGGAAGCCCGCAAGCACTTATACTTTCCATTCGCCTTTTTTCCGACGTGTGTTCTGTGGTTTTCGCCATCATGGGTGTGCATTTCTCAAACTGATTGGGGGTCAAGGTCTCGAAAGTAGCCATAGGGGACAGGTGCGAAAAACTTCTAGGATTTGTCCACTTATGATCTGGGTCTTGAATATATATATATATATATATATATATATATATATATGTGTGTGTGTGTGTATATATGGCATGACCGACTACATCTAGATGTTCCTTAAAGTCCATATGCATAGCCATCGGAATGACATTTGGAAGCATGACAGTCTGCATGAGCTTCCTGCTTTGTGAAGTTGAAAGAGCGAAGCTGCACGTCTATCTTGCATATCGAAAAGCGAGGTCCGCGCATAATTCATCGTAATTTTCTTAGTTTTTTTGGGCGTGTTTATCTATGCATTAAAAAGAACAGAGTGTTCACAACAGACGTGGCTATCACAGCTCCTTTACACGCAGGTTCTGGACAGCCCAAAGTTTCATCAATAAAAGATGTGCATTTCAAGCAGCGTGAAACAAAACGTAGGCACTCCTTCATGAACTAGTAACGAAAATTCTCCTCTTTTTAACGAAAGCGAAAACTTTTCTCCAAATAGCTAAGGTAGGTGCCCTCCTATTGAAAATGCCTTTCCCCGCTCATGTCATTGCATACGCTTTGCAAGCCTGCTGTATTTCTGGTGGGCACAGTTCCAAGCCTTTGCGCCTCTGAAGGGAAAGCGACGCTAATCCGCTCCAGATCGAATGTGTGGCCAATGAACCCCCACAATGCCAATGTCTTGCTTAGCGCGGGTTGAGCTTAAAAGCGTTGCTAGTTGGGCTGGCTCTTCAGTGGTCACACCCGATTATACTAGTGTACCCATGCTCAGTGCACAATGAGCTCACCCACGAAGATGCGCAGCCAGAATCTTGGTAAGCGGAGGGGGCGCAGGACGGATAAAGGCTGAAAGGCCTCCCAACCTGGCGCCCCCATTTAAGGCCCCCCATCACCTGATACGACCCACTCGCTTCGAAAGGGCACGATTTGCTCCGTTTTATATAACTATGTACCATTTGTTTTACTAAAACAACCCAGAACGCGTTGAAAGACGACATTCCGTTAATATTTTGACGTCAATAACCTGACGACACCAAGCCTTACGTGATTACGTAGAAAAAAACCGTCGCTATTCATTTCGTTCTTGTTCAGTGGGATTTTCTGAATGATAACACTCAGGGGTTTTCCAGAAATTTTGCATGGCCTGTGGTGTGGCAGGATTGGAATGATGCTGCTACTGTGTCATGCTCGCCTGAATGGCCATGGAATATTCCGCATGTCTTCGCCGGCGTTTAGCCCAGTAACTAGACGATTTCAGGTTTTAAGAAGGTAGGGTTTTGAATTGCACCGAACGATCCTCAAAATGGCTATTTCAGCTCAAAACCCCATGCAACTGTAGAACACTCTCTTTTGATTTGTCAAAACCCTTAACAGTTAAATACTACGAAAGCTCGAAACAATCTGCTCAGGAAACAGCATACGCAGCTATGAGGCCATGATCACACGAATGTAACGAAGCATTTTACTTTTATTTTTCTCCTATGGCATTCAGCACAGTGTCTCTTTCGAAGCGCACGTTCGCTCCCAGAAAGAGTTTCGCATGGTCTATTGTGACGCGCTGGTTCAAGCTGCAACTAATGCGCCTCTCGGTAAATGGTCTATCGTGACACGCTGGTTCCAGCTGCAACTAATGCGCTTCTCGGTAAATGGTCTATCGTGACACGCTGGTTCCAGCTGCAACTAATGCGCCTCTCGGTAAATGGTCTGTCGTGACGCGCTGGTTCCAGCTGCAACTAATGCGCCTCTCGGTAAATGGTCTATCGTGACGCGCTGGTTCCAGCTGCAACTAATGCGCCTCTCGGTAAATGGTCTATCGTGACGCGCTGGTTCCAGCTGCAACTAATGCGCCTCTCGGTAAATGGCCTTCGCCGTCCGCTGTGCCAATCACCAGCACTCATTTGTGCTGTGTTATTCATACCAGTAGAGGTGCCACTTTGTAGCCCACAAGCCCCCATTGTACGGGATAAAGCAGCTCAAAAATGGTACCTTTAGTCCTTAACGGCCGGCGACGGCCCTCAGCAGATTTTGTTGTCGCCATGGCGAGACCAGTGGCGGCAACTACAGTTGTCGCGGGCTAGGGCTGCACTCTGGGACTACCAAAAAAGAAAGAAGTGCAGTGCTGTGACAAAACGATGCCAGCGTATGTTGGACTTGAAAGTAGTTACCATGGATCTCATTCTGTTACCTTGATGGTGCTGCAATGACACTACCCTGCGCTATTATTAGACGCAACTGGTCCTGAGGTTCCAGAAGACCATGTTTGTTAAATGCGCCCCGAAGTTGTTACATTAATTATACACGAGCGCTGGTGGCCGATTGAATATCCTTTGCTCGGGTGGGGGACAATTTGACCCCCTGAGATCTCGGAAACTAGGAGAACTACCGTTAGCATGTACAACAACTTACTTGTGTTAAATTTTGAGGCTCTTAGATCATGACCTTCGGGTAAAATAGTGTCAAACAAAGTCAAACTCCAGATCAGCGCCCAAGGTGCCCCAGACCCTCCCATGCAACAACCGTAAACCTAGATACCCGTTCTAAGCAAAAGGTCACTGATGCTCATGCATGGCCAGTGACCTTTTTTGACCTTTCGGAGGTCACGGGAATGAAGATCATACAAGGCTGTTTTGTTTTTTGCATTTGAATAACCGTAGATCATTGCGACTTGCAGTATGTTTCTGAAAACAAAATGTTCACCTGGATCATTTGAGGTCAGTGACCTATTCTGACTTAGAAATCCCATGGAAGATGTGTAGTGCAGTTTCTGTTATCGATAAATTCAAAGTGAGCACCAGAAACTACCCCAAACAGCAATTCCTAAAGTAAAACACAGGCTGATTTTGAGCTTGGTCTGACCCTCATACTCATACCTGACTTGAGGTAAAT